TCCAACTAGCCTGTAGCAGTTAAATATATTGTGAACCAGAATTTCCAACTAGCCTGTAGCAGTTAAATATATTGTGAACCAGAATTTCCAACTAGCCTGTAGCAGTTAAATATATTGTGAACCAGAATTTCCAACTAGCCTGTAGCAGTTAAATATATTGTGAACCATAATTTCCAACATTTTACGCCAGCATATCATTTTTACAAAATCATATCTTCGATTTATCCGCAAAAAGTAGACGAGTAAATAAAACGTCACGTTTTTACTTTAGAAAATACCGTACAGTACGAATCTGTTTTCGATGGCTGAAAGCTGCTCCGATGGGGACTCTTACTATGAAAGCGAACCTACTCAGCTGAGAAGGCCAAATAAAGTGTTTTCGTGCCTTGCGTTACCGGAAGCTCAAATTGAAACAACCAGTTTACAACCTGAAGAGATAATCAAGAAGTGTGTTTATGATGGACAACACTGCGACGCCCGGTAGGTTATAATATTGTCTCGAAGGTGTATTTGCATTTATTTATGTATATTAAATATCATTCTGTAAATGTGTCAGAGAAACAAACAAACAACAACAACAAAAATTATAGCAGCGGAAATAGTGCATTAAAGCAACGTCTGTTAGATTATGATACTTCGTTAGTCCCATTACAACAAAAATTTATAAGTGCACTGTTTTCTCTAATAAAAAAGGTAATATATGTGGATCTGAATAAAACAGTTAGACAAGAACATGGGATAATTACGACCCTATTTTTGCCGCAGTTAAAACCCCGTTGAAGAGCAAACCTTTGAAAAATGAAAACATTATTGTGCAACAGAAATACTGTAAACCTACGATTGGAGTTGCTGTTAAACACAAGAACGTAAACCAGAAATTACTTGATCGTGCGGCGTATGATGGTAAAGATATTAGGTAGAGATTACTTGGGTTTATTGAGAAACAGACGACATAAGGTTTGTAAATAGAAACACGTGCGTTAGTAACATATTACTGCTGTATACTATGTATCTCACAATAATGTGTAGCTTAATAATCATCACACATTTTGTAATACTTTTTGTATGAAATAGTCAATTTTTTGTAAGTAGATGTTTTGCATTATTATTATTATTATCCACTTTTACTAATTTCATACAGCGTTTATAACTTTTAGTGTAGTTCTGCTAACAATACTGTTACGACAGCGGAAGTCGCGCTACGCTGGGAGCATGCGCTGGAGTTCTAGAAAGATCGAGGAACCGATCGAACGTCCTAGCGTTTGCTGGACACGCGCTCTTATAGTATACAAGACCGGCGAGAAGTGACGGGATAGATAATTGAATAATTGTAGACAGAGAGATATAGAGACAGATAATCGAGTCAAGCCGTAAGTAAAGTGCGTGAATCGTTGTGAATTCTAGCGTGTGTT